TAATAATTCTTTGAATTTCGATCGTTTCAGCAGGCTGGAGATAGATTGATTGAGAACAGGATGTGGGCAGATATTCCTGGAACCCCCCAGGGTCAAAGGTCTGACGGGCACTTATCTGAGTTTTGATGTTCGTAGCAATGTTCGAGAAATAGTCATTAAACCTTTCAGCCACGGTATCTTCAGAACTCAAAATCGACCCGTCCGAACCTTTAAGTCTTAACTGCTCTGTTTTCCTGCTTCTACCAAGTAAACCGTTGATTATTTGCCATTGTTTTTTGGAGCAGTCCTGGTATTTTTCGAATTGTTTTTTATAGTATCGTTGTTTGGCAATGTTGACATGTTTTTTACAGAAAAGTTTTAGCTTTTTATAGGCCTCTATATTATTCATTGTAGGTTCAAGTACTTTACTATGATAACTTTCTTGTTTCCGCGCACATGCTTCTTCAAGCCAGGGTAATATCCAGGGTTTAGTATTAGAACGCTCATGTTCACGGCGAATATGATTGATTTTTAGTGGATAGGCAGTGTTATAGTGCTTGGTGTATATATCTGCAAGTTTTCCGTATTGCAGACTAGCGTCGTCTGTACTTAATATCTCGTCCCACGTTTCCCCATCGATGAGTTCCCTAAAAGCAGCATTGTTGGCTTCATTTAAGACACGTGTTTCATAACTAAGTTTAGGTTGTGTGTTAGTGGGTAGCCTGAGATGTTGTTGCGAAGAGTTACTTAGTTTAAAAGTGGTAACGATAGCAAGATGATCCGATAAATCCACCGTTACAACGTTACTGCTTACTGTGTTATTTATATTATTTGTGTAGACATGATCAATTAAGGTAGCACTATGATCGGTGACTCGTGTCGGCCTTGAAACCGTCTGAACAAATCCATACTTGGCAAGGAGGTCTATGAGGTTCTGTCCAGAAATATCAGTTTTGAATTTTATAAGATCAATGTTCGCGTCCCCAAAAAACATGATATGCTTGCGAGAATGTCTTTCAAGACCTCGTAGCACCTTTTCCAACGAATTTAAGAAGTTCTGAGTACCTTTAGATGGGGACCTGTAAAAGTTTATCAATACTTTTGTTTGGTTTGTGCCTTTGCAATTATGCACCTTAACTAATTGAAATTCAGCGCATGTGTCTTCAGGATCTGTGGTTGCCTCAAGATTTTCTATATTTTCGGGATCACAAACCCTCTTATTAATGTAAATTACAAGGCCACCACCTTTTCCTGATTTGCGAAATGGTTCCTGAACAATAGGCTCGTGAAACCCTTCGATTTTAATGTCAGAGATTCCGTTTGGTAATTTATCTAACTTCAAATTGGTTTCGTTAAGACACAAAACGTCATACTTAGTATAACTGTCGATTTCTTCACGGAAGTATGTGATGTTCTTTACTAATGATCGCACATTAAGAGAAAACACTTTCAGTTCATCACGGGAGGAACTTTTAATGTTCGATGGCTGCTGATACTTACAATTGGTTAGTATATCGCTGATTTCGTTCCAGTATTGGTAACTTTCATCGTTATCCTGATCTAAAGCGTTACCGATCAAATCTAAACCATGTGAGCGGTCGTATGGATTGAAAAGAGCAGTGATTCGGCTGCTACAGTTCATAAAAAGATCATAAGATGTCACATAATAACCTGGGATTAACGACTCACAGCACTTTATGCAGCCTAAATTATCTCTAAAACACTTTTTATGAATGTACTCATCGCACCATGGACAAAACCTAATGTTTAATCTAGAATAACAAAACCCGTTACAGGCCATGCACTTTGTTTTAAAATTAGTTTTGTTAACACTACTTTTTTATTCGTCGGGACATCAGAGGCATTGATTGGGAGAATTGAGCTTATGCATTCATAGCAGAACCATGGGTTCCCAGAATTTATAATGTGCCGGGCATCGTTTTTTGATAGTTTCTGGCATTTTAAATGTTTACGTTCAGCACATAGGTCACAAATTAGGTCAGGAGAACTTTTAGGGATACGAATATAGCATTTGTCGCAATTGGGCTGTGAGCCGTGTTGCCTATGATTACTTCGCTCCACTTTCAGTGACAGAATAAAGTAAGAGTTGAAAACAGATTAAATAAATGAAATAAAAACTGAATAAAGAAAAATTGATATTAATATATAATCTGATGGGTGTAGACAGTAGGCTGGTCAGATCCGTTTGCAAGAACTTTCAGTTCTGTGTGCAAGACAAGATCGTGACGGTTGTGCCTATTTACTACTTAAAAACTACAGATTATTGTCTGCTCAATATCAACAGGCTCAGCAACTAGTTCTCTTAAAGAATTTGATAATAAATAACAGAAAAGATTGACTAATGCGAGGGGCGCACGGACTGTGGATCAGTCATAGTCTGTCAGAAGTCGGTAGTTGGGTAGATTGTCGATGTGATTTGTCGTTTTCTGTATCATGAGTATTGTGTACAATGTAATAAGATGTAATAATATACAGTAGGCCTCGTATTTTGTTTTATGAATGGAGTATTAAACGTTGCGATTAAGGGACTGTTATTAGAATGACTGATAAGTGTAAAGCCGAGATTACTATGGGCAATGTATTTTATTGTGTAGATAGTGTATCAAAATTTCGATTTTAATTTTAAGTGTTTAAGTGTTTATTACCAATAATGTTACATAGGGGACTGTAATTACTGATTAGGATGACTGATAAGCTTTATTTAGATTACTGATAAGACGGGTTATAGTATGAAAGGTGTGAGCGTGTAACTTGTTAAGATACGACTTGTTTTAAGGTTTTAAATTTGCCGTGCTACGTTGACTTGGTTTGAAATATGTTTGCAGATCAGTCTTTTTGTTTAGTATTGGTATTGACAATAGTTTAATTTATTCAATTCTCATCCGAAACCGAAACCGAAACTGTTCATATAGTCATAGTATAAATCTAAAAATGGACGTCTTAGGGGTAATGATCCTTTACGAAACCCTAGGCTTATTAGAATAGTTGAAACGATTGAAATGCTATAATTTATTTCAATTATTTTTAATTGAGATTGTTTCTGCATTATAAAAAGGAAAATAGAGTACATATCAGTGGGACAATTTTGCAACAAGAAAACAAGAAAACAACAATTTTATTTAGTATCAGTTAAAGCAGACAAAAACATATTTTATATATATAACTAGTGCAAACTTTAGACCATATATCTTAGGGGACTTGGAGTAGCAAGAGAGTGACCAGAAAGTATATGTATACTTTTACCAAGAATACGTCGAAATGAATCCAGGGTGATACAGGATCTGAGAGTGCAGACCATAAAGTTTACGCACCCACCCTTGCCTCCTGAATTCTTGGTTGGAAAGACAATTATGCAAAATTGGTCGTTTATACTCCAAGTCCCTTTGTTAATAGAAGTAGTATTATTTATGTCTGGAGTTAGCTTCATTCAATAATAACAATATCAATATAATCAATATTAATATCAATATCAGACTAAACTATCAAATAAATAAATTATCAAATATCAATTATTAATTCACTCTGATTAAAAAGTTATAAATTAGGATATCTAATATTTAAGAATTACAACTACAAGTTGTTAAAAACGCCCAAAATAGATCTGAGATATTTTCAGTCTGTAGTACAATAATGATAGCAATAGTTTAAATTATGTTATGTGCCGCTGCAATTAGATTAAATTACTGTAACTTAAAATTGTTTGGAGTCCAAGTCTCTTTTAAGTCAGCAGCCTGTGATTGTATTAATAGTGCTTTCGTTCTCAATTTTATCAAGTTAATGGAAGTTTCTAGACAATTGCTTGAAGTTAAAATTTTTTTATGAACAGTGTTCCAAAGCTTGGCTGCATTAAACAAAAAGGTATTTGATTTATTTAGAAGAATAACTGTTAGACTCGTTGCACGGTTTGAAATGTTGATAGCCTCATAAAGGGAGAATGGGCAGTGGTACTTGATAATCTTAGAGAATTCTAAAATACAGTGATATTTGTACAAGTTTTGAGCCGTAAGAATTTTTAACCTGTTAAAAATGGGTTTCGTATGCTCCTTTTCGAAATGTTTATGGCCTAGTATTTGCATGCCATATGGTCTAGTTCTTGCACATGTTGATTGTTTATCTAGATATGAATCGAGATCACCAAAAAGGATTCTTATACAGTGCTTCTGTGTGATAAAAAGACTATCATTTGACCGTTCTTTGAGGACAACTCCCCAAACACTTATACCATAACTTAGATGTGATTCAAATAGAGCATTATATATTTTTAAATATAGTTCAGCAGGTATCGAGTGCCGAATTCTACAGATTGCACCAGTCATGGACCTCAGTTTTTTACGGATGTAGTGCATGTGGGCAGACCAGTTTAGCTTACTATCTATAACAACACCTAAGAATTTGGTATCCTTGACCTGCAACTTTACACCACTATTATAATGTATATATCTGTCAGCTGTGGAACAAAGTTTCTTCCGATTTTTCTCTTACACTTCTAATCCAATGCCACATTTATCAACATTCGATCCATCGGATGGTGATAACGGAGACCTACAAGTTTATTTACTAGAGCTATCTATAATAATTGATGTGGCAGTCATCAAGTCATCAAGAGTCAGAGATTCTCTTGTAAGAGCGTAATTGAACTATAAAATGATACATTAAATCAAATCAAGTGATGCAATTGGCCGAGCACAATAGAAAGGTAACAGATGCTCAAGCTTGGAACTTTTTGATTAACAAATTTTAAACTCACTCCCTGGCCTTGAGGAATTGCGCACAAATTATGTGTTTTATAATTTTTCTCTAGTATTATTTCACCTTATCGCACCACATTTATTGTACAACTCTCACAGTTGCTCTCTATGATTTCCCATTTTTCATTTTGATACCTCAGTCCCAAAACTCCACTCATGTTCAAAGTGCGCTACATGGCCACTGCTCCAATATTAACTCCTTGTTAATTTTCATACTTGTCTCTTGTACCTAGTTACACAACTTCATTTTTAAGGTAATGGATTTACCTGATATAGGAGTTGATGCTTTACCAGATGATGGTGAAAAACCAGGCTATCTACACCAACTCAGGTCTAACCAGTTCTTTGCTGCTGGTTTTGGCTTGGGTGCTCTAGGAGCAGCTACTACAGCTTTAAAGAAACTCAGTGTTGTTGGAATGGGCATCGCCAGACGAAAGTAGGTAACTCAAATTCGATATTTTATAATTACTTGTTTATATCAGCAATAACAATAATGCAGAGCATTATTGGCTAATATAATCAATGGAATTCATTTCATCAAAATTTCAGGCTTTTTGTGTCAGTTGAACTAAACTCAAGAGACCCATCTTATGAGTGGTTCCTCAACTGGATGGCACGCAATGTAAATCACACTCAACATCTGAGTGTTTCGACTGACTTGATAAAACACGATAATGGAACAGTTACCACTAGTTTTGGGTTCTTGCCAAGTACAGGTATTTGCAGCTTATTGTTGTTTTTTTTATTCCACGTAACTGGAAAGCCATAACTAAAATAACGTTTTCAATATCAACTTTCAAATTATCGTTTACGTGAACCTTCTATTCAGGGAGACATTATTTTCGATATAAACGAACTTTCATGTCATGTGAACGAGTAAGAGAGACTAACACACTTGCTAGATCGGGCCAGTTGTGGGAGAGTGTGGTTATAACTATGTTGGGGTACAACCGACACAAATTACTGGGTAATCATACTTCTCAAGAACCAATCTGAACTATTGTTGTTTTCTTAGGGGGGGGGGGGGGGGGGGGCAATGGGTATTTTTTGTGAAACTTGATTTCGAGATAGCAGTTGACCAACAAACTAGGACCAGTGACCGAACTTTTGAGGGGGTCTCAGACCCGAACCGCCAAACGGTGCCCGCGGGGCAGCCACGCCCATATTTGGTCTAATATAGGTCCAATTCAGCCAAATACCCTGAACATGCCCAAAACCCAGGTATAAGGTGCTCTTCTTGTAGCTAGTGGTCTCCTAAACTCGTAAATGAAATTTCATCAAGATTGGACAAAAAATGACTGAGTTATGAGCCAAAAACCATATGCCCATATTTGGGCATACGCATCAAATTTGGTAGATTTCGTCCCATAAATTGGTCAAATATCAATATTTTTGAATGAGACTTACTTTATATGAAAGGTAATATAAGCCTAAACTACATATTCTCTCTAAGTTATTGTCTTATATCTGTTTAAATGTGGATGCTAAGGCGAAAATACCCCAAAAAATGAACAAAATTGCTGGTATCTTCGTTCGCGATATTCGCGGAATTAATTTCATTAATTTGAAAATAACTCAATCAGTTTTCAAAATTTTTGCATGAAATTTTCGGAATCGACTCTAAATCGTATTTCCACCTTATTGTAGGAAGCCGATTTTTGATTTAGGCCAAAATATGGGCATATGGTTTTTGGCTCATAACTCAGTCATTTTTTGTCCAATCTTGATGAAATTTCATTTACGAGTTCAGGAGACCACTAGCTACAAGTAGAGCACATTCAACCTGGATTTTGGGCATGTTCAGGGTATTTGGCTAATTTGGGCCAAATATGGGCGTGGCTCCCCTGCGGGCACCGTCTGGCGGTTCGGGTCCCGGACCCCCTCAAAAGTTCGGTCACTGGTCCTAGTTTGTTGGTCAACTGCTATCTCGAAATCAAGTTTCACAGAAAAATACCCATTGGCCCCCCCCCCCACCCCCGCCCCCGCCCCCCTTAATTCTGATATTCTGCTATACACTAATTCAATGTCAGTTACTAATCTTAACAATCAACATGTATATTCAATGTGTAATGTGTATTTAGGTTATCTCTGAATTAGTAATAGGACCACACTTCTATAATACATGATAGATGATTCATCCCAATTTGAACCGTCCAGAGTTGATGGAAGAAGCAAAATTTGAAGCAGTTCAAAAGATAGAAGGAAGAACAATCGTATATTCTGCGATGGGTAAGAATTAAGATTTTCATTCCATTTATAATATTTCTGTTATAAATATATAATACAGACCATAAATATTACTTTCCACACGTTTTGGTGCTTTATTTTACACTGAATTGATTAATGTAAGTTATTGGTAATTCATTGTGTCAGGCCACGAATGGAGACAGTTTGGTAATCCCCTTCGACAGCGTCCAGTTAGCAGCATATACCTACCATCTCAAGTCAGCAGCAGAGTCCTTAATGACATTCAGGAATTTCTGTCATCACAGGAGTGGTGGGTAAGCATCAGCTTTCATACTTATAACTGAATTCTTGTTAGTTGTTGATTGAATCATTGATTTTGAAATTTAATAACCCCCTTTGTTAAATAAATTGTCATTATTTTACCAAATATTACTACCAGGTATGTAGACCACGGAGTTCCCTACCGACGAGGATACCTGTTTTATGGTGAACCAGGATCTGGTAAAACCAGTTTCATCCACTCTCTGGCAGGTACACTGAGTCTATTGTAACTAATCTCCTTATATGGGCATCACGTGTAAAAGTGTATTGTAACTAATCTCCTTATATGGGCATCACGAGGATACCTGTTTTATGGTGAACCAGGATCTGGTAAAACCAGTTTCATCCACTCTTTGGCAGGTACACCGGGGGGGGGGTGCAGGTACTTTTTTGATGGAACATAACCCTAAAAGTACCCTAGGGGTGGGTGGGTGTTTTATGAAATTTTCGAAAAGTATCATGGTACTTTTTTTGTCCCAAAAAAAAGAAGGGGTACACCAAAACATGATTATAAAAGTACATGGTACTTTTTCATTACCAAAATGTTAGAATTGGGGTTTTCACCACTCTCTGGCAGGTACACTGAGATTCTTTTTGAGCCCCATCTTCACCTGCCTTCACTCTCCCAAAAAAGCTGCTCGAATTATGAGAACTAATTAATACTTTCAACACTACTATGTAAGATATAATTTGAGACTCTCATGATGTATCAAGCCTCATATTGTGGGTTTCCCTTCGTATCCAAATAAAACATATAAGAACTAATTATATAATGTTGTAAACGCAGGAGCGATCGGTTACAATATCTGTGTAGTGAATCTGTCGGAGAAGACGTGGACAGATGATAGATTACAGTACTTGTTTGCGAACTGTCCTGATCGCAGGTCTGCCATTCTAACGTCAAATATAAATGCTATGCTTTTAACATTATAACGTCAAATATAAATGCTATGCTTTTAATCTTAATTCTTCTCCAGAGGACTCAGAAAATAATGAGCATGGTCCATTTTTGAATTTTAATCTAGTACTATCTCCCCAGTATATTGCTTCTAGAAGATGTGGACGCAGCGTTTATAGACAGACAAGCGGAGATACCACGTGGTTACACACGTGCTGATGCTCATCTGTTGTTATCATACAGTGGCCTGCTTAACGCCCTGGACGGGGTGATGAGCAGTGATGCACAGCTAGTCTTTATGACCACTAATCACAAACAGCTCCTCGACCCAGCTCTCATTCGACCGGGCAGGGTGGACGTGCAGGTACATTTATCAAAACACATTTACCGGGCAGGGTGGACGTGCAGGTACATTTCTCAAAACACATTTACCGTGCGATATGAGTTTTAAAATTCTCGAATTTAAGGTATTGTAATTGGGGTTATATCGTTGAAAGTTCTTATTTTATCAATCCTCCGCATAACTAATGAAATTTGCCCGGCAGGAATATTTCGGAAATGCTGTTTCAGAACAGGTTATATCAATGTTGAAACACTTCTTCCCCGACGTCACCGAGGAAGCATGCTCGATATTCTCCAGTCTCGTTCCTGACAATTCTATGAGTATGGCAGAACTACAGGGCATGTTTTTATTGCACAAGGATGACCTAGATTCTCTCATTAATGCTGTTAAGGAGTTAAACTTAAATAACATCGACCCAGCTCTCATTCAACCGGGCCAGGTACGTTCCTGAAGATCTAAATAAATAATAAATAAATAATGGTCTATCTTTTTTTGGGTAGTTTTGAGAAAATGGCAGTCAAATTTTGTTACTATAAGTAGCTTTTGAGTCTATGATCTTGTTTATAGCATATTGAAACATGCTTAATATGAACATTTGTGTTTGTGCGCATCATGTCCACTTACTTTACCAAAATGTAAGTCATTGCAGTGCTCACAGTGATGTACTTTCCTACATAGACCATTATTGCACAAGATGATAACTGACTTAGACCAAAAATCAACTGTAATATAGACCATTGTTGCACCAGCTTTTTATTTACTTACATCACTAAATGATGACATAGACTATTTTTGCACCTTGTATCGATTGATTTCTGAACAACAAAATTATGAAATAGACCATTCTTGAACCCAATAATGTCAAATTGGCCAAATAATTGGGATCTACCGTGATTTTAAAAGGCCGATTTTGTCTAAGAGGCGTTGGACTATTCTTCCAAGCTGGAATTTTAAGATTTTTTCCATGCACTATCATGGATCACTGTGATATATACCTCATGAGATAGCCCATTTTTCACTGAGTTCAAAAATGTAAAAATTTCAAAAACGGTCTATCTCCTGTTAGACCAGTATTGCAGCTGGTCTCACAAATGCACAAAGTAATTTTTGTTTTGTTATAGTAACCTATAATTTCATCAATCTTCAACATGAATTAACAAAATTCCTTCATCAGGAGTATTTCGGGAATGCCGTTTCAGAACATGTTATATCAATGTTGAAACACTTCTTCCCTGACGTCACCGAGGAAGCATGCTCGATATTCTCCAGTCTGGTTCCTGACAATTCTATTAGTATGGCGGAACTACAGGGCATGTTTTTATTGCACAAGGATGACCTAGATTCTCTTGTTAATGCTGTTAATGACTTGAACCTAAATCAAATTAATGATTCTGATAGTTGATAGGTGAAAATATACATAGGTGACCTAAAGAGCGAAAATTGCAGTTTTATTTTGTTTTTGAGAAATTTGATACGTTAATTTATTACTGAATACAGATTGTTATTTGATACTTTTTCTTGTTTTCCTGCTATAAACTTCATTGATCAACATATTTTAAGGAAGAAGCTTTTGGCATATCATTATAATAATATATAATAATAATATATATAAAAATATAAGGATATCAAAGTTTTCATATTTCTCAGATAGTAACCTTAGGACTTCCAAAATTTAACTACTCAATTAAAAAACAACTGTATCACACGATTTTTCAGTCTGGTAGTGTTGAGTCTCATAAATATTTTTCCAGCTCTCTTTTTCCATGTTTTTGCCTCACAGGAGATATTGTGGTCTTTTCTATTGAATATAACTGTAATACATTGATGTAAAGTTTATTTGAATTTTGAAATTAAATAAATTACTAACCAATAACTTAATTACAATAGTATGGTGGAGCAAGTTATTAACAAAGTAAGGGAACCTCCCAATCCTAAGAAGATCTACAGAGCCGCGCTAGAACTGTCCCACCAATGTGACAACGTTTTGAAATCTACTCAGATTCTTGGTGAGCTCCTCACTTCTTACAAAACTGTTATTTCGTGATTCATTTTAATTTAAACTTGAAAATATCAGGAAAATTATATATTGTGGCCTATGTCTTTTGATGACTTGGTGTAAATTGTAAAATGACGAGAAAGGATTAACACTAACTAAGTTTTCTTCCCAGATGAAACAAATAAGTTTTCCTTCCCAGAACTGTTCTCCCCTGATAATGCTGCAATCAGAGACAAATTGCGAACATATGCTGAGCGTCTCATTATTCCGTCCTCTCAATTCTCCAGAAAAGGAGAAGATTTGATTTGGAAGAAAGTATTCTACGATGTTATAACCAGTTGTAGGGCGACTAAAGCTCATTTGGTGAGCGTCATTTCAAGATACTGTCTAGAAAATTTTACAGATGAAAGAAGTTGGAAAATATTTACTAACCTTGCTGATCATTCATATAAACGCTTATTTATTTTTTACAATCTTCTGTAAAACCTTTCTTTCAGTCAAGTCCGGCGAAGCTACCATATAGGGCACATCTCATGTCAGCTGTTGGTTACTATCAACATCTCCTCCTCAAACTTCAGCAACAATACCATCTAAACTTATGTGGGGTTGTTGACTTTGCTCACGACTTTTCCTCTAGCGACACGGTTTGTTTGTTTTTTTGCTCGTTCACATTAGTTGGAGTTTACCACTATTTGTTTGTGACAATTTCCCGAATCTCTTTATTCTGATAAATGTTCATGCAGTCAGCTACCACTATTCTAACAGTAATGTTTTTAGCAGGTTCCAGATGCCATATTAGAGGAAGGAATATCGGCAGTACACAGATGTTTGTTATACCTGGGTGACCTAGCTCGCTATCAAGCTGAAACAGAAGGGATTAATTACAAGTCTATATCAGCTCGATTTTATCACCAGGTACCTATTGTATTAGTTGTTTTTAGTTTTTTATTGTTGTATATGACGTGTATACAACCAATGTTTGTCATCTAACACAAAATTTCGGATTGTTTCTTAATAGACTCAACGATGAGAATGTTCTAATGAAGGCAAATAGATAAATCACTTATCGAAATTTCTACGTCATTCTCATATTCTCAAATTATTTGTTATATAGTAGTGTTGACAACATCGTCTTGTTTAACTTTTAACCTGTTTTCTCTCCAGGCACTGTTAATCTGTCCGAAGGAGGGGCGGCCACATAACCAGTTAGGCACACTCGCTGGTATTAATTATGAGGGATTGGAAGCTGCATACCATTACATGAAGTGTCTCTCCAGCAAGGTGAACTGTTTTATTTTTAAATATTTTAACAACTACCATAGTCAACTAGCATAGTCAACCATTTATCTGTTTATTTCGATCGACCAAAGTTAGTATTATAAGTTTGACCAATTGATGAAAAAACAATTTATTGATTAATTAACTAATTTAAAACAGATTAATTAACTAATTTAAAACAGATCCCGTTTCCCGGAGCTGGTGATAATCTGAAAGGAATATTCAACAAGACCGTCTCCGTATCTAAGGATGTCATGTGCAGTCCTGAATCTTACCCTCCCACACGACGATTTCTAATCTGTTTCCTTCTATTGGCTGATAAATTGTCCGGACCTGTTTCCATGTCAGAGGTTAGTAATTATTTACTACAACTATATACTAGTTACTATATACTAGTTACTACAACTAGTTACTACAACTAGTTACTTGTGAATTTTATCCGAATCCACATTTTTGATTAGGTCTTATGATGGAAAACACACATACTTGTAATTGGATGGATATTATTATCTGTAGCAATGAATAGTAAATCCAAATCCTCAGTGAATAACAAGTTAATTGTGAGTGTGATGGTTACCTCTAGGCTCTACGTAGTTTCGTGTTCATGAAGCGGCTGATTTGAGAGTTCCCGTCGGTCACAGCCATAAAATCACTTGAGCGTAGCGCGCATAACCTTTTTCTTGAACTAATGCCGTTAAAAAGCATTTAGTTTCCTCACATGTTGCGGCGCGCGGACCAAACTAGGCGACCAACGAACCTGAAGCTTAAAGTTCCATATCATTTCAAAATGTTCGATCCAAATTTTTTCCATTTCACCCTTTTGTAAAAAGGCAATAGTGAAAGGTTACGAATGGTCGTTTTTGCAGAAAGACGTGGATTTTGGAGATTGCGGTAGGTGGGTCAAATATATGTCGTGTTCCTTCCGTATGTTACCAAGCAACGAAAAATTTGCGCGCGCGAGGATTGCTTGCGGAAATGTGATGTATAGATAGCCTGTGATCTATGGATGCGCGGCGCGACTGTGTTTTAATGTATACGATGTAATTATAATGTATTAATATTATGTTATAAGCCCAATTTGTACGTGGTACGCGTAGTGTATTGATGTGTAAACAAGTTTAGTTTACCTTTGCTTACAATTTCTTGAATTACAAATGCAAGTTAACGGCAATTGAACTAAATTTCAAATGTTTCCCGTATTTAATGCATAATTTATCAATATTATTATCATGAAGATTGAAGTGAGCTTATTGGAGGTTATACTTAAATTTATAGTAAATGTGGAATGGAAATCTATCGTCCGCCAAAACGAAACAACGGGCGCAATTCTTGTTCTTGTATGTAATAAAACTGAATTACAGGTTGATCAACTTGTTCGTGGTTTGGGCGGAGATTTTGCCGATTGTTACACTGATAACAGACAACCATTTCCTCCGGCACTCGTTTTGAAGGTATGCTATTGAACTTACTTCGTTTGTAAAATTTCCAATGTACACATAATAAATTCACTATTAAGTAATTCCAACTCCTTTTGCAGCACTGAACGTCAAAGATTTGAATAAAGTATTATATTTGTAAACAAGGTTACTTCAGATAGTGACAATGGCAATCATGTTGGCGGAGAACGCACTGGCACCCGGCGTAGACACAGTGCAACCCAAACTTATCCCAGCTCTGGTTATAGAATTGATGACGACAATACTAACGGTCACAATACAGCAGCTAGGGGAGAAGTTATCGTCCCCCGATAACCAGTTCCAGAGTTTACAAATCAGCGGGAATGTCGAGGAGGAGAGGAGCGTTGTTATGCTTCATGTTATTTCTACTCAGTCCCTTCTTCTCCCTCTTAAAATTCTAGGTATTCAATCGATATTTCGCTATTTGTATTTGATGTGTTAAAAGCTAGAAAATTCTATTACTGAGTGAGGAACTGTCTCGGATCAAGGGAATGGGGGGGGGGCCAACCATATTAAAGTATATTAAAGTATATCCCCGGGTCAAAATCGGAAAAAATCCTACATTTTAATATACTTTAATATACCTACAATTAGAAGATTTATATTCTTCGTTAAGATTTACATGATGAACTATATTTTTCACTCAGATTCGCAAGATAAGCCTGTTTTAGGACTAGTACATGAATTTCCATCCAGATTGGTCAAAAATTGGCTGAGCTATGAGCTTTAAAAAATATGCCCATATTTGGGCATACGCTTTTGTCCAAATTCGCTTTTGCCCAAATTCGATAAAATTTCAATATTTTTTAATGAGACTAACTCTATGTGAAAGATATAACTCAGTGTTTGTTGGATATAGTGGATACTAAGTAAAAAGACCTCCATGAACAAAATTGGGAAAATTGCACATAATATCTCGGTTCAGAATACTAGCCAAAATAACTTCATTAAAATTGAAATAACTCCATCAGTTTTCAATATTTTTTCAAGAACTTTTTGGAATCGATTAAGGATTGCATTTCAAGCTTATTTTGGGCAACAATTTTTGATGCAGGCCTCCAAGGAGATAGGGATATATTAAAGTATATTAAAGTATATTAAAGTATATTAAAGTATATCCCCGGGTCAAAATCGGGAAAAATCCTACATTTTAATATACTTTAATATGGTTGGCCCCCCCCCCCCCCCCCCAGGGAATGTTCTAGTGCCAAAACTCTTATCGAATTAAAACAAAAAATGTATTACGTCACAAAAAGCGTCAAGTTTCATAAATCGTAAGATTCCTGTCTGTACTAACCGGAACTATTGCAGGTGATTGGATAAAAGCTCGTCACCAGTTGATAGCACAAGATCTGACGGGTACATTCTGGGCCCAGTTCGGTGATCTGCTCAACCTGTTCCCTCACACACGTGATTTAGAGCGGATTGTAAAGGAAGGATTCAGTCAGTCACAACAGCAACAGAAGATAGCCCTACCTGAAGACGTGGCTTTGCGGGGTCTTGCTCCGTTGTCAACTCTTCATAGTCAGCTGGAGTTCCCTCCCATGTCACCAGGTTAGCAAATAGAAGTCAGTTATTTTATTTTGAAAGTTATGATTTTTAAACTTAAACTCGAATGCCTTTATTAATTATTTCTTTAATATTTCCCTCGTCATCTTGTTTTATCATTGGAAATCCCAAAAATGGATTCCGTGAATTTTTAAAAGTCCTGGATTGACAGTATCCTAGTTCTGAAATTTACATTCATTAAACCTGCAGATTTGAATCTACTCGACGAGTTCGCCCTGAGATTATTGTGTTTAAAATCTGTTGGTCAGTTTGCTGCTCAACTCAGACCTCGACCAGGACTTCAGTACGATCTCAACAGTGATCTCTACTCTTCTCTCCTCGCTAAACCTCAGTTAGTTTAATTTACTGTGCTCTTTCGCCTCGCTAAACCTCAGTCAGTTTAATTTACTGTGCTCTTTCGCCTCGCTAAACCTCAGTCAGTTTAATTTACTGTGCTCTTTCGCCTCGCTAAACCTCAGCAAGGTTACGTCTGGTTATTTATAAGGATTTATAATGATCTATATACCCAGGGTGCGGTCTATGATAACAGACCGTGAACGAACAATGAAAGCGATGGCACACAGACGTTTACAATCAGAAATAAAGGGGCTAGAGTACTCAGGTAGGAATTAAATCTCATTGTTTTGGGTTTTATTAATTTAAAAGTAACAGCAATATTTCCACAACTAATTTCTTCTATAATAGCTAGATAACGAAATTTCCCTCTGAAATATACAGTTTCGAATTTTGAAACGTAACATGAGATTAATACTATACTAGACTTTTTATTTATATCACAGTCCTAGACACCAACCCAAAGAATTGAGATGTGTATATAATCTTTGGGGCGACCATTATTGTGTCCGTATGGTGACAGGTACTGTACAAGCCTGTTGCTCTCACAAAACTGGAATATTTTGAGTGTTTTGTAAGCCTCGTCTGGATCACAGTAGAGAGGAACTCGTGTAGTTTTACTGACGGAGTTCTGACCTACATGAACAACGTTCCAAGCATAAACGTAAGTCTGGTAGTGGTAGTTACGATATAAGGGCTTGTCACAAAATACCTCTGGCATTTTGTTCTGAAACAGCTTGACTGTGAACTTTAATTCTGTCGCGGGATTTCGATGTCGAGCGTCTGTTACAGGGGGTGGTAAGATCGTCGCCTTACCTGTGAGCACTATTTCTGAATCCTCGAATACAACCTCAGCCAGGCTCAGATATAAATTCGAGTTGTCATTTTGGATTTGGCGGTTAAAAGTATTTTGGAGTGTTGGGGACAGATTGGATAGAACGGTCAGCACGTAGTTCGAGTAGTAACCATTTAAATTCATATTCTCCGGTCCTTTTGAGAAATTAGAAATAACCTGTGAAACAAATTTTTCAACAAAGTCCATGTCAAATGATGGTTTGTTGGCAGTGAGCCAAGAAAGAAGACACTCGATAACACAGAACTGGTCTGATTTATCTGTAAATCCTGTAGAAAGCACAGACATTCCATCTGCCTCTAGGATCTTCCAGCAAAAGTAAAGACTGCCATTTTCTTTCATGAATTTTAACGACTGAAGCACGGTTATCTTCTCGTTTATGTTCATTTTGTACCTGTTTAAACGCTTGTACTCTTGCAATGTGATATTTTCGAATTCTTCCATTTTCTCGAATAGACCCTCGAATTGAGCACGAGGACACAAACACATTGCAGTTGAGATTTCAGGCATATCCTAGAGAATTGAGAAAAATGTTGTAGCTTGACTGGTTTATGATCATCTTAACCCACGGAATATAATTAGGGATGAGATGCTGGTGAAGCAGTATAGCTAGTAGTTCCTTCTTGTCTGCTACTTCTGAGATAACACATTCCATAGCCCTTTCGAGGTCCTGGTATCTTGTATCAGTGCTATCAGAGTGTATTAGACGGACTAGATGTTCTCCAATAAACAGTCTACTTGGTTTATAAACCTCTTCTTTGAGGGATTCTATAGAGGTTGTCTTTGTAGGTGTCTTACCACCAAATGCTTTGACTGCAACTATAGAACTATCAACAAGCCTACATTGTCCAAATTCCATTTATTTTCGGACATCCAATCCAAGATTTGTTTTCGAGCTCCGGGAATATCAAAAGCAACCATGAACTTTAGAATATCTTGAAAGTTTTCTTCAGTAAGCTTAACCGATCCACCGTGAAGGATAGACAAACATTCTCGCACATGTTTATTATCTGCTAGCAATAATTGATTGTCCTCCTTTATGAATTGTCTGAGCACAGGACTGTGTTGAACTAACAACGCTGCATTGCATTTAATGGTTCCTGATTCTGTGATAACTTCAACTGGATCATCAAATTCATTGTTTTCAAGGAAGAAAGTGAAGTCAGTGTTGAAATCAAGCTTAACAGTCATTTGCATCTCTGCAAATGCTTTATTTTCAGCGATTTACTTGAATGGGTTTTATTTATATGGGGATATAATGATTGAGACTCCTTAGGACTTCTAAGGAAAACCCAACGGTAAATTTATTTTTGAGTTTGCACTTCATCCCCACAGCCCCTTATACACCACGACTAATATTTTAGTCCTAATTAAATTCGGCTCATTCACTAATATTACGATGCTTGAAAAGAAAAATAAACCCAAGGAAAAAATACGCAAACTGCTCCAATTCTAGTGGTGAAACACTCCACATCATCCGATACTAGCTCACCGATGCCCATCCTATAGATCCGTTACAAACTTACAAAATGCACATATACAAGCACTGTTCACTCATCTAGATTTTGCCTTAAGCTCAATATATTTGACTGTCAATAAAAACTTGTGAGTAGTATTAAGTCTATTAACCGACGCGAAAATTCGTGATTTGATTTGTCCGTCCGCGTCACCGTGTTGTGACTTGACTGCCATTTTATATATCCAAGTCATTCCAGCATTATTTTAACGTGATTTGTTTATATAACTTGTTCATTTATAACCAATCTAAAACAGACAATGACTCGATGGTATAAATTACATGCTGCTAGAATACTAGTGCTGCTAGATCCCCGATTATTACATTGCTTCTAGAAAGAAAGACTCTCAGGTCAATGATCGGGGCTTCACGACAACTATATGTTTTAAACCTAAGGAGACTAAGCTATGATGAGAAAGCGTTCTATAACAGTCCAGTTCACTGCACTGTGGATGATAACGTCTTGTGATACGAATTGCACTTCATACTCCAGTAGGTATCAAGATCTTTCTTCATCACGTATGTAACCCTCATAATGTTTATAAACAACTAATTTCAGTGTCCGCTAACCAGTACGATTCCCCTATAATGTTTATAAACAACTAATTTCAGTGTCCGCTAACCAGTACGATTCCCCTATAATGTTTATAAACAACTAATTTCAGTGTCCGCTAACCAGTACGATTCCCCTATATGTTTATAAACAACTAATTCAGTGTTCGCTAACCAGTACGTAAACCCAATATTGTCTTATAAACAACTAATTTCAGTGTCCGCTAACCAGGACGATTTCCCCTATAAATGTTATAAACACTATTTCAGTGGTCCGCTAAACAGTACGATTCCCCTATAATGGTTTTATTAACAACTAATTTCAGTGTCCGCTAACAGTACGAGTCCCTATAATGTTATAAACAAGCTATTTCAGTGTCCGCTTAACCAGTACGAGTCCCTATTAAGGTTTATAAACAAAACTAATTTCAGTGTCCGCTAACCAGTACGATTCAACCATATCAGCATGATGCCTGTTATAAACAAACTAATTTCAGTGTCCACTAACCAGTACGTAACCCCTACAATGTTTATTAACAACTAATTTCAGTGTCCGCTAACCAGTACGATTCCCCTATAATGTTTATAAACAAAACTAATTTCAGTGTTCCCGCTCACCAGTACGGGGGATTCCCCTATAATGTTTATAAACAACTAATTTCAGTGTCCGCTAACCAGTACGTAACCCCTATAATGTTTTATAAACACAATATTTCAGTGTCCGCTCTAACCAGTACCGTAACCCCTATAATGTTTATAAACAACTTAATTTCAGAGTCGCTAACCAGTACGTTCCCTATAATGTTTATAAACAAATGTTTCAGTGTTCCGCTACTAAACCAGTACGTAACCCCTTTATGTTTTAGAAACAATAATTTCAGTGTCCGCTAAACCAGTACGTAACCCCCTATAATGATTTATATAAACAACTAATTTCAGTGTTCCCGCTAACAGTACGAGTCCCCTATAATGTTTATAAACAACTAATTTCAGTGTCCGCTAACCAGTACGTAACCCCTATAATGTTTATAAACAACTAATTTCAGTGTCCGCTAACCAGTACGTTACCCCTATAATGTTTATAAACAACTAATTTCAGTGTCCGCTAACCAGTACGATTCCCCTAGAATTGTTTTATAAACAACCTAATTTCCGTGTCCGCAACCAGTACGATTCCCTGTCTCCATTCCTAGTACCAGTTACCAGTACCGTGTGTCTTCATCTTAGAACTGTGAAACTACTGGTAGCTACTCAGCGCAGTGTTATCATAATCCCCAAACAGGTTACTAATGAAAGATATGGATAATCTTCTTTTTATAGTCTTCTTTTCAATTGTTGGCAATCGTTTTTTTACTTAATAGGGACAAACCTGGGTATTTCTATAATTTTAGCCTAGAATTGAAATTCGGCCACAATGAAGATGTAATTAAACGTAGTGTAACATGGGGGTTTAAAAAAATAAAAAACAAACTTTTTTTTTTAGTAGTAACACATCACCACCATTCCGCAGGTGATACAAGATCTTGACAGTTTGAAAAAGAGCCGCGAGAACCATTACGCCAGAGATGCTATAAAATATTTCGAGAGCATGTTCAAGAATGGGAACTGGTGGCTGCGAGGGCAGGGTGACCAAGAGTTTATGTCGGTCAGTTCGGGCGCTGTGATTCTTGCGGGACGATGTAGCTACAATACTTTTAGATACAACATCATCCTTGAACTTAGCTTCACATTTGCGATTCCAGATAAATGACTATGTTCCCCCAGATAAAATATCAAGCTCCAACTAACCTCTCCTCCATTCCAGGTAAAAGAACCAGCTCCAAGCCCGGAAATGGCGGGGTTCCTGTCCGTGTTGTCCTGTTGTCTGTACCTGGCTAACAAGAGTCAGGGTATTGTTACGCTGCTGGTTCCTGATGACGCTGTCTCCGCTGCTAAAAACCACAAAAACTGCAATGCTCCTAACAATTATACTGGTTTGTAGTTTCGTAACTTGATTTACTAATAATCTGTTAAACATTAATATGGAGCTACCTTATCGGACTTTATTTGAATGGACATTAAGTGGGCGCTGAAGTCCCTTCCGTTCATAATTATGACCGTTCAAATAAAGTCTGTCGACGGTCCGTTTACGTCCAAGTCAAACTCCTTTCAATTATTTTCCCAAAAAGTATTCCATTACAAACTTATTATCCAGGAAATGTATAATTTCCGTCTATTTTGATTTCTTTCGGACTATGATATCATTGGATCATTGAATAGAAACAAGTTATTATAAAAAATGTTGTATGTAAAGTAAAGTAATGTATTAATACAGGAAGTTTACCGGTGGGGAGGGAAACACTGATGGAGCTAGCCAAAAGTTTACGGTATCAGAGTCCGAGGGTAGCCCTGGAGTTCTACAGCAAATGGCTAATGAGCAACAGCATGTGGAAAGATCTGGTCGCGGGGCAAAATGATGGCACTGATAGCTCTTTAGTATTTAAAATTATTTGAAACAAGCCTGCTTAACAAAAGACTGATATTTATTAAAGATGGGTGTGAGACTCAATTTTATTACAGTAACTTTTAACACTCTCCGATTGAATGATTTAGCGAATATGATACAGCTGAAGACTTGAATCTTAAACTTATGTTCTTAGTTTGACATAGATATTTTAAAACTTTTGTGATATTTTTTTTGAAGATGCAGTCAAATTGTTATTGCTGTAAAAATTAATTACATTTCTGGTTTCCACTTTTCAATCGATGTTTTATCGTTAAAAAAAAGTATGCTTATTAACTGGTCCGAAATTGTAACGTAATAGGGGAACGGGGACAATTTTGGTCATTATATGCAAGCCTCTTGATTTATAACATCAGCGCAAGCGTATCCAAAATGAAATCCACTGGCTTACCTACAAGGCTTACCGAATCACAAAATATTATTCGGTCAACCGGACACAAATTTTACAGTTTTGATTGAATTTCTCACCTGTTACCAATTAGTCAATCAAGTATAGTATTGAAGCTAAAATTACTACTACTACTACTACTACTACTATGTCGGAACTAAGTCGATCTAGCAGATAACCCTCCATTATATCCCGGTACGCATCTCAGGTTCGCAGTTCCTCTTTTAGGTGTTTGTCCCAACTTCACTTCAGTAACATAGACAAAGTAGCACTAGCTTTGTCTTGGTCGGCCTTGCTGTGCTTCATCCCATGAATTAGGTTCCATAATACTAAATCACTGGCAAGTAGCTCAGGGTGTCAGCTGCAGTGTCCCGCCATTTTTTCGTCTCCTGCCTTCGTACTTGTTTGACAGCCCTTCAGCCTTTGTTAAGACTACCATACAAAGTTCTATTGCTAACCCACTATCAGTCCACAGCAGAAAGCTTAAAACAAACGAAAAGTTTGCATTTTCAAAAGGCTGGTCCCATTTTCAATATGAAATTATTCCGAACACAATTTGACGGACTGGATGACATTTTTGCCACAAATCAATTAGTCAGTTATCAATGTGATATGAAACCAAATTAGGAACAGGAGTCAAAATCCAGCATGAAATGGACAAAAATCATATGTCCAATCTCTGTCCAATTTTCAGTTTTTGAAGATGAAATTTCCGGACCGAAATTTTAAACTTTTGACTGGATTTTTTGACCTTGCAAAATAAGTAAGTCAACTATAACTGGCATTGACAGATGAGGGTGCTGGAAGTTGATTTGGTTCGGACAGAAGCCCACAGCAGAAAGCTTAATCAAAACGAAAAGTAGCATTTTCAAAAGTCTGTCCCATTTCGAAATATGAAATTTCTGAACACAATTTGACAGATTGGATAAAATTTTGCCCACAACATTTAGTCAGTTATTGCTGATGGTATGGAAACCAAAGTGAGGTACTGGGAGTTAAAATCCCGCACCCCCCCCCCCCCCCCCCCAACCTTGCCCCAAATCCAATATGAATTTTTATCCAGATTAAACTAAAAATGACTGAGTTATGAGCCAAAACCTATATGCCCATATTCAGGCATGTGATAAATTTTGGCCCATAAATTGGTCAAATATCAATATTTTGAATGATACTAACGTTATATGAAAGGTAAGCCTAAACTACATATTCTCTGTGAGTTATAGCTTTATATCATATGAACATGAAATTAGGTCGGTCCGACCTAATTATATTTTCGTGACAGTAAGAATCATTTGTTCGGGTTCGGGACTCTACGGCGTAAGACTCATTTGTTCACCGCGATCCAACCACATTGTTACCTACGCACACCCAGAACTCGCCCAAAGTATTTATTAAGCAGTAAAACAATAAAACAAATAAAACTCAAACTGTCCTCCTATACTAAGGATACTAAGGATCCTTCACATTATATATCGCATAAGCCATATTTTGACCTTGAGTACATCAGCGCAAGCGTATCCAAAATGAAATCCACTGGCTTACCTACTAGGCTTACCGAATCACAAAATATTAATTCGACAAATATTATTCGGTCAAACGGGGCTCTTACTAATTCGCTCGCCCAAAAATTTCACGTGACTTTGGTTTTTATGGTTTTGCAGCTGTACAAAACGGCTTTACATAAACCCTAATCCCAACACTAACCCTAACCATAACCCCGAAGCTATCCATAACCCTTATTCTTAACTGTAACACAACTCTAAGTCTAGGCCTAACCCTAACCCGAGCCATAAACGATCGAACTCATGTTTTACTAGCATGTCACGTGACCAAAACGGTTTTTTGCCCATAACTCTCCAGGGAAGTATTTTTACCTTACGTCATCAGGGGTGATTCGAAATCAGCGTCCAAAAATACATACACAATTTCATACCCAAGGGGCCTTTTCACAAGAATTTTCTTAAAATTTGGGAGAGCGATTTTGGGACACAAATTTTACAGTTTTGACTGAATTTCTCGCCTGTTACCAATTAGTCACTCAAGTATTATAGGTGGCATATAACACGATTGAGGTGCTGGAAGTATGATTGAGGTCGGAGGAAGCCCACAGCAGAAAGCTTAACGAAAAGAAAAGTTGTATTTTCAAAAGTATTGGAAAATTCACATTTTCCAAATTCTGTCCCATTTTCAAATATGAAAATTTCCGAACACAAATTAGACAGATTGGATGGTTTTTTTGCCCAGATACCAATTAGTCTGTAAATTGATGATGGTATGAAACGAAATTGAGGTACTGAAAGTGAAAATCCCGAAGAAAATTGAAAAATCATATTTTCCCATTTTCGGTTTTTGAAGATGAAATTTCCAGGACCTAAATTTTACAGTTTTGACTGATTTTTTCACCCGCAACCAATTAGTAAGTCAACTATAGATGGCATATGACACGATTGAGGTGCTGGAAGTTTGATTCCGGTCGGAAGAAGCCCACAGCAGAAAGCTTAACAAAACGAAAAGTTGCATTTTCAAAAGTCTGTCCCAATTTCATATACGAAATTTTCTGAACACAAATTTGACAGATTGGATGAAATTTTTGCCAACAAACCAATTAGTCAGTTTTTTAAATAATTGATGATGGTATGAAACCAAATTGAGGTACTGGGAGTCAAAATCCCGCATAAAATTGCAAAATCATATTGGCCCAATTTCTGTCCCATTTTCAGTTTTTGAAGATGAAATTTCCAGGACCGAAATTTTACAGTTTTTACTGTTTTTTTGACCTGCAACCAATTAGTAAGTCAACTATAAATGGCATATGACACGATTGAGGTGCTGGAAGTTTGATTTCGGTCGGAAGAAGCCCACAGCAGAAAGCTTAACAAAACGAAAAGTTGCATTTTCAAAAAGCTGTCCCATTTTCAAATATGAAAGTTTCTGAACCCAAATTTGACAGATTGGATAAAATTTTTGCCCACAAACCAATTAGTCAGTTAATTGATGATGGTATGAAACCAAATTGAGGTACTGGGAGTCAAAATCCCGCACAAAATTGCAAAATCATATATTGGCCCAATTTCTGTCCCATTTTCAGTTTTTGAAGATGAAATTTCCAGGACCGAAATTTTACAGTTTTTACTGTTTTTTTGACCTGCAACCAATTAGTAAGTCAACTATAATTGGCATATGAAACGATTGAGGTGCTGGAAGTTTGATTTCGGTCGGAAGAAGCCCACAGCAGAAAGCTTAACAAAACGAAAAGTTGCATTTTCAAAAGGCTGTCCCATTTTCAAATATGAAATTTTCTGAACCCAAATTTGACAAACTGGATGACATTTTTGCCCACAAACCAATAAGTCAGTTAATTGATGATGGTATGAAACCAAATTGAGGTACTGGGAGTCAAAATCCCGCATAAAATTGCAAAATCATGTTGTCCCAATCTCTGTCCCATTTTCAGTTTTTGAAGATGAAATTTCCAGGACCGAAATTTTACAGTATTTACTGTTTTTTTTTACCTGCAACCAATTAGTAAGTCAACTATAAATGGCATATGACACGATTGAGGTGCTGGAAGTTTGATTCCGGTCGGAAGAAGCCCACAGCAGAAAGCTTAACAAAACGAAAAGTTGCATTTTCAAAAGCTGTCCCATTTTCAAATATGAAATTTTCTGAACCCAAATTTGACAAACTGGATGACATTTTTGCCCACAAACCAATAAGTCAGTTAATTGATGATGGTATGAAATTGAAACCAAATTGAGGTACTGGGAGTCAAAATCCCGCATAAAATTGCAAAATCATATTGTCCCAATCTCTGTCCCATTTTCAGTTTTTGAAGATGAAATTTCCAGGACCGAAGATTTACAGTTTTTACTGATTTTTTCACCTGCAACCAATAACTAATAAGTAAGTCAAATATAAATAACATATGATTATGACACGATTGGGGTGCCCAAATTTGACAGACTGGATGACATTTTTGCCCACAAACCAGTCAGTTAATTGATGATGGTATGAAACCAAATTGATGTGCCACACGTTTTGTGGCATACTGATAGAATAAACTATTTCATTTATTATGATCTTTTGAAAATGTCCCCAGAATAGACTCGCCAGTCGCCACCCGACTACCATCAGCCTTACTTTTCTTTGTTTTCAATTATGAAAGAAATGTAAACTGTTTGAAACGCGACGTTCGATTGTTTAAAGCATCGCTATTGGACTCATAGTTGTGCCACATCGGCTTTATGAATCTGTGATACTGTGCATCTATTTTTACTATAGCGGTTGAGAACATTTCATCCATACCTCATATAAGCCTTATATGATAGTAATAAGGACCCATACCATCATCTAAGGACCGGTTTTAACCGTTTTGGAGACAAAATTGTAGTTGTATCGCGTAAACTGCCGCAGTAAGGAAATCTTCTTATGCCTAAAAAGTCACCGGCTACTACTAGCCTACATTTACTTTGCCTTAGACCGCAATACAAGCAGGAATTACAGATAAACGGTAAATAATTTGAAAAGCGAACCCACTCCCAGGTTTCGAGAGCCTAGTAATTCTCTGTGCGCTTATACTTATAGTTATAGTTATTTGGCGCA